AAGGAAAACCACCATTTTCTCTTCCCAGGTTACCTTGTACCTAGCTTCACACCTACCAAGCAATACTCCTTTGGCTTGGGGATCAGATAGGTAGGTCTTAGGAAAGAACTTCCAAAACAGAAGCCAAGCAGAGCCCCAAAGGAACATTGACCTCAACTACCTTCTCAGTGACTTCAAAGCTCCACTGATCAATATTTGCTCCCAATTTAGCATCTCACAGAGGATCTCCTCCTAACCCTAGAATAGTCTGACCTGGTTTCTGCTCTCTGGTTAATTATCCACAGAGACTAACCAGCTGACCAGAGGCTTGAACTCCAGTGCCCCCCAAAAGACAGGAGGCATTCTCAGGGTGAGGCTACCAAAGAGATAATAATAATAATAATAATTATTATTATTATATTTATTATTATTAGAGATTTTATTTTTAAGTAATCTCTACACCCAATGTGGGACTTGAACTCACAACCATGAGATCAAGAGTTGTATGTTTTACCTAGTGAACCAGCCAGGCATCCCACAAAGAAAGAATCATTGAGCAGCCATAAAGGTAACTTACTTGGAGCTCTAATGATTGGAGGGAGGGTGGGAAACAGCAGTGCTCTAAGCCTCTTGACACCATGTCCTGGAGCCTAGTGTTATGAAGGCTTTAAGGGCTTGTTTTGAGGTTGTTTAGTCCTGACACCCACTACTATAAAGCCAGTGGGAAAGCTCAGGGATCAGAAGGACTAAATGTTACCTCCCAGAAGCTTAGAATCTCTTTCTAAATGTGAATGGGACTTGGGGAGGAGAGAAGAAAGTTAAGGGAGTATTGGCACGAATAAAGCAGCCAAATGAGCTTTAGGTCCAAATACACCTAAGTGCCTGAGAGGGGGGAGTGGAGAGAAGGCTGACAATTGAGGTCATCTTGACCTTGGAAGGACCTCTTTTAAAAATGGACAGAGGCAATGGTGCCCCCTGGTGGCTAAGGGTAAGTGGGAAAATGTGGTCTAAACTTCACTGCCAACTTCAGTAAATCAAACTCCTGTATTTACTGGGTAATAGCTAAAATTTATTGAATACTTACTACAATTTCCAGGTATTATCTAAATGTGGTTCACGCATTATCTTAATTGATCCTCAACAACAACTCTAAGGGATGTAGATAATAGGATCTCTACAGAGCAGGAAAGCAAGGTTTAGATAAAAGTATCCTGCTGAGGATCATGGTTCGTAATTGGCCAGAAGCTGTATCTTAACTACTAAACTGTATTGTTTATATGGTGATGACTGGGAATTATCAGCTGCAACTCTGAGTCATTGTTTTTTTTTTTAAAGATTTTATTTATTTGAGAGAGAGAGAATGAGAGAGAGAGAGCAAGAGAGGGGAAGGGTCAGAGGGAGAAGCAGACTCCCTGCTGAGCGGGGAGCCTGATGTGGGACTCCATCCTGGGACTCCAGGATCATGACCTGAGCCGAAGGCAGTCGGTTAACCAACTGAGCCACCCAGGCGCCCTCTGAGTCATTGTTAACTGTCTCCCGGGCACGCCAGCTCAGTGTGTTCTATATTTTAAAATATTTTATAAAATAAGGAACTTACTTATAAAATAAGGAACTTATTCTTACTCATCTGTAAAACCTTTGTACATCCATACTGGAAATACATGATAAATCATGACCCTCCCAGAGTACATAAAGCTATTTAGCACCTAAACTGACCAGGGGGTAGAATGGGTTTCTTATTACAATGAATAACCAGTCTGGAAGAAATAGCTGAAAGGAGGATATGATACCTTCTCACTATTATTAGAGTCAGAGGGCATGTGTTCAAACTTGGAGGTAGTTTTCAAACAAAAGTACTAGTGTAAACAGCCACTGGGGACTACATGGAGACTCCACTACAGGGAACGAGATGTAGCAGAAAGACCACTGGCCTAGGGATAAGACGATCACTAAGACTTGACTCCCCAAGACACAACCTCTTTGAGCTTATTTTCTTCATCTGTAAAATGGAGTAACATCTATTTCTTAGAATTGTAAAGATTAAATAAGGTGTATGGGCTTGTTATAGGAGTATTCACCATATATTAGTTCCTTTGCCCTTGCTATTCATCCCTGTCCTATAAAGGAATCTTGTCCCTGCTCTGAATCCTTTTTAACAGCATAAAAACCCTCTAAAACTTATTTTTATTTTTTTTCACTTTTAAAGTATTTTATTTGAGAGAAAGAGTGAGAGGGAGAGAGAGAGAGCACGAGCAGGGGGAGAGGGAGAAGCAGGCTCCCCACTGAACAGGGAGCTGGATGCGGGATTTGACCCAGGACCCTGGGATCATGACCTGAGCGGAAGACAGACGTTTAACTGACTGAGCCACCCAGGTGCCCCTAAAACTTAAAGGACTAGATTTTCACATATTAAATTTTCTTAGTCACATCCAGATCTCACTTAACACTGTCTTT